AAAAAATTTTCACCAGAAAGCATTCGCGCTATCGCTCGAAACCCAAATATAGACTTACAATCAATAGGAATATACTCAAAATCAGATATTCAACATCACATTAGAACACAACAATTCCAGGAATTATTAACACAAATGGACACAATACAAAGACAATCAATTGACCAAAACTTACGCAAACTTGCCGAAACCGCAGGATTTGCAGACATCTATACGCAAGACTATAGCGGATATTTTAAAGACATTAAAGATTATATATATATCTAAACGGTGAAAAATACCGTCCCCAAGATATATCACCTATCAATATTTTTAGCTTTGTTACACTCAAGAATGAAATTCTTGATTTTCTAGGATGGCCCTACTACATCTTAGAAAAACTAACTATTTTATACGCAATGTTTAACTTTATTGGATTTCTTTTTTCACTCTTAAAAGGAATCTATAACACATGTGCTATACACACACAAGTCAATAGACAAGCAAGTGTAGCACGCATACTATTTGCAGGATTTTTTGGAATATTTTCTACATCTATAAACAAAATTCTTTTAGACGCACAAATAAAAGAATATAACACAAAAATAGCAACAAGACAGAACACATACGACGAAGAACATAACAATGCAGACACAACACCAACAGCACCACAGTTACCACCCCTACCACATAACCATCCATTATCCCTAGTCCCACGTAATTTTCGAAATTTAGCCATAACACATAATAATTTTAGACCAACCATATCACAAAGTCCCATCCAACATATAATGCCACACCACTCACAAGATGAAAATACTTATGAACAAATTATAGAACAACCCCATACCACCGCTTTTCAGTCTCAAAATAATAATTTTTTTAGCCCACGATGAGCCGACAACTTGGATCCCTACACCGATCAAATTCCCACCCAACCAACCTCACCACTCCAATCCCAATAATACCACTTTTTGCTTTTCCGCCACCCGATTTCCCATCCAGTAATGTAACATCCGGCATGAATTCCGATACTAATTCACACATCTCAGTTTTATACTCCATCTCACAACTCAATAACGCAAATATTGAAACCCCCGATGAATTTGCCGACTCTGAACCATCTCCATCAAATAATTTTCACACCAATCCCTTAAATTTTTCCCAACCCCCTTTTCAACCCATACTACCAAATAACCCTGACCCAACCAATTCTACACCCTCTTATGCTTCCCAAGTCACTCCAACCTACTCCTCACTTCACTCAAACCAATCATCTCATTCTTCAGACACCCCCCGAATCTCCCCAGAACTAGATAATTTCATTACCCTACAACAACAATCCTATCACCTTGACACCCCAACCATAAACCAAATCTCATCCACAATAGATTCATCCAACCCTCCTACCCCTACACCCTCTTCAATTTATACTGATTCATTAGCACCATCATCCACAACTACTATATCTTCACTCAGCACTAATAGAGCTTACCGCACTTTTAAAAGGAAGTTCCCCAACCATCCTTTCCCAGCGAAACCAGGAACAGCCCGTGAATATATCAACCATCCACAACACACTAACACAAAAGAGTTTTTAGCTATCACCTTACCCTCATTTCCACAATACACCTTAAACACCCCTCATGACACTAACGAGACACGTAACTTTGTAGACGAATACGTTTTAATGCCTACCCTTCCTTGGACCTCATATTATCATTTTACAAATCCCCTTTGCTTACCTTTATCTAACACTCATATCGATATAGAACGAAATAAGGACATGCTATATCGACTCACTACACCACTAACACCTAGACAATTTACTTACATTGGATACAAAAAATCACTAAAAACACACACTGCACCCCGAGCTAATGAATATACACTAGAATATTACGATCATAACATCATCAGAACTAACCAAGATCAATTCTTAGACGACGATCGCTTCGCTAACCCACAAATCACCGAGAAATTTTTCATTAAAACACCATATGTATTTACACTAAATATCTTCGATCGCAAGTTTGACCACATTATCTCAGAAGCACTAACAGACACGCAAGCCTACGAAAGTTTTAAAGAACGCTTCCAAATATTTTCACTAACCTTTCGTTTCCTTGCACCACATGAAAGAGATTTGCACTGCTCACACGATATTATGTTGCGCACTAAACAAACACACACATATACTTATTATCGTTTCATCCAAAATCACTTTGACCTACACACTCCCTCCAGACAACCACACCATCGTTTTCAATTCATCAATTCCAAATACACCTCACCATTCTTTCTTAACTTCACATATTGCATTAAAGATACTAACCTTCATGGTATTCTTCGAAATTATGATCCCATAACCCAAATGTATATCTTTTGTCCCATCACCAAGACCTTCAACGCAGAAGAATCCCGACCCTTCCTCATCCCACACGAGTTTGTCCAACCTATAGAAATCCCCATTTTAGAATTCATCCATAACACTAAATTCAACCACAAATTATATAATCTAATCCAAAACACACCTTATGAATTTGCAGTTGGCACTGAAGAACTAACCACCATTAAGGCACTTCAATTGCTTTGGCCACTGCTTCAAACTAAAAATATCATCCGCATATTAGCCAAACTACTAACAACTTCAGATCTCATCCACGACATTTTCCCCCACGGTTTCTTCCCCGACGACTAACAGGTAAGTATGAATTATACATATTACTAATTAATTCAAACATTAGAAACTCACCATTCTTTATCCATGTTTTCTTTAGAATTTTAGCCTTCATCCTAGATCATCTGAAAAATTCACAAAAGAAAAATAAAAAATAGCAAACTTCTTCAAAACTGTTTAAGACCCTATTAAATTTTTGCACCAACAATTAAATAAATATAATACCAATGCAGTAAATTAATTTATACATTTTTCCCCCACCAGCAGTAAATCTAATAATGATGAAAATTTGTAACTTAATTTCCCCCAACAACTAGCAGTAAAATTAAAATTCTATGTAGTAAATTCATAAGAAGCAAAAGCAGTACTAACCTTTTGATATTTTCATTCACTCGCATAAAAATTCTATCCAAACTCGCACAGCTCGCCCACGAAGAATTGTTTAAAGCAATGAATTTCAGTTCCAAGCTTTCACACTCGATAACTCTAACACATGATAACATGTTTCAAACTTTACTTTAACCCGGTTGGAAAGGAATTATATACTAAACAAAACTAACCAATGCAGCTTACTAAACACCACAACACATAGCATAACAGCATGACTAAGAAAAGGAAACCAACGGTACCCAAACCGGATTAACCCAGTTTAAAACTGGATAATTTATTCTTTTGAAGACTATTATAAAGTCTAAGAAAGAAATAATAAAACACAAAAAAGTCGAAAGACAAACCCATACCACAAACAATTTGATTTTTGAAAAAAGGACACAACCAACAAAACATAAGAAAAACCACAACAAACCCAACATAAAACGTTGTCACATAACAGGACCTCTCACAAAAACCGCATGCAATCATACTCCCACTCCTGGCCTAACCCACCAGGAAGGACGTCCTGAGCATGCTCTATAGCCGGCCTAACCCACCGTGCTACATCCACGCTTTGTGACCACACTCCTATTTTTAATAAGAGCTACTCAAGGGTGAGTAACTCTTCAAAATAACTGAACTAAAACAAAAAGCTTTTGTGAAAACAACTAACTAAAATCATAATTAAAAAATATTAAACTAATAAAAGTTTTATAAAATGTAAATTACATTATGCAATACATAGATCAGAATACAACACCAAGGACGAACATCCAAAGACAAAACGACCCTACTACACTCGAGAAAGAATGGCCAACTACAATCAATATGCCGCCCACAATCACAACTCAAAGGATTTAGAGTACGACTTGACTTCGCAGAAAAGGACTTCATTGAACTAGACCAATGACCACCTCGATGTTCAAGTATACGTACAGATCCGAGTAACCAGGCATCCCCTCCACGCACAATCTCCACGCCATTCCCAGACAAGGTCAAACACAAAGAAGTTCTCACCAATGAAACAGAAAAACCTGACATAGCCAACCATTCTGAAATCAGATTTGAGTTTGTTGCGAAAACCCAGTCGTTGTCTTGAGAAGACACAATGATTGAATCTGGGACTTCTCTAATAAGAAAACCCAGAAGAAATAAGATGTTCGCCAAATACCAACGTCCATCATCCATCTTTCGAATTGCAGAAAAACTATTCTAAAAAACTCTGTAAAACCCGGATGGGTGGAACCTGATCTAAACTACATTTTATGATTGGATAAATTAGATATTTTACCAATGTAAAGTATTTAATATTAACCAATCATGATCCATCTAACTAACAATCCACTTATTTGTAAGTGCTGAAATTACTTGTAATTTCAGCACCAGAGAGATTTGAATTTAACTTAGAAATTAGTTGAACTCTCCCGAGTACTTCAGCAGCCGCAATAAACCAGTATACCCTAGATCTATTGAGCCTAGCAGAGACTAGTTAAACAACCTGAGACTAGATAGTATAAGAGTAAGATTAGGATCGGTATTAGACTAAGAAGTTGCACGAATCTATCCGGCCGAAAATAAGATAGCGTGACGAGCAGACGGTGTACCCTATCCGAAATTACTCTATGAGTTATACCCATAGAACATAACTCATAATGTCAAAAAAAGACTATTTGATTTTGGTTTTTTTTGCAGCTGATCCAGTTTCATCCAAATTTTAAAACAAAGATTAACTAACTGATGCAAGTTTTGTAATATTTTTCATTGTTTTTCTAGCTAGAAAACTCATTTCAACGATGTAGCAATTTTTTTCTATAAATTTTGTTCTTTGTTTTCATTTTTTTGCAAATGTTACTATGGTCAAAACGTTATCAGCTAATAACCCAGCAACCAAACGTTCTGGGCAACACAATTTTAAACTATTTGGTATTTCCAATGGAACGAGGGTGGGGTGGGGGGACTGGGGGTTTACCGAAAGCAGGTCGAGAGACTGTTCCACACTGTCAACATCTTTCGCCGAAATTGCATCCACCTCATCCACCGCTTCCTCGCTCTCTGATTGGTCAATTTCCTTCTTATGCTCCAACCAATCAGAAACTTTGTTTATCTCCTCTGCAATCGCCTCCTTTTCCGCTTTGCATCGTGTCATTACTGTCTTCGCTTTATTAATTTGGTCACGTGACTGTTTGATTCGGTTCTCTCGCTCGGATATTTTCCCGGCAAGTCTGTGTGTGTCGACAGTTTGACTCATGTCGTCGCGGAAAACACTCAGTTTTTGCTTCATCTCTGCAATTATAGATTCGGATTTGGCTATTTCTTTTTTGGCGCCGTCCAAGTTGTCAAGGAACGCAAGCGGGTCGTTCAGTTTTTCGGGTGTGATTTCAAGCAGTGTTTCTATTTCCACAACTTCGTTTGGGACATTTTTTTCCATCTCAGCTTGTTTATCGACCACCTCTAGGCTTTGTTTCAGTATGTCGGCTTTGACCTTGAAAGAAGAATATATTTCTAATAACTTTTAATCTTCATGGATTGTACTTTAAAGTCTCAACCATATTTGACCCGTAAAAACTTAACTCTGAGGCTAATATTTTTTAAAATACAAATTCAATTCCGTTATAACTCAATGTGCTGTTTAGGTTTCGAGTTCATTCAAGGTTCTTCACCAAGAAGTCGGATTTTTTGTAATTAACCCCTATTTTTCCCTTTATGGCACCTTGTGAAAAATTCCCCCCCCCCCATTCATGAATGATTGATTCAGTGCGGTCAAGCGTACATGTTCATATTTTCCTTAAAAATGATTAGTTTACTAATGAATTATCCTTTTTGTAAAATGAGGCGGAGACAAAAACAGAGATCATGAATCCAAAACTTCGTCTCATTATTCTTCCATTTACTTTTTCCTAGATCTTTTTTGTTTAATTCATCTTCATTCTATTGTTTCTACTGATTCGAAATTGTATATTTTTGAAAATAATCCCACCTTGAGGCTCTCGCCCAGCGACTGGAATGAGCTGAGCAATCCCTCATGATCCTCCGACAGTTTGTAATCCGAGGACTCCGAGGGGGGTCCCAGTTGGGCCATCTTCTCCTTCAAACTCTTCATCTCACTCACCACTTGCTGCTCATTGGACCACGAGTCAATGAATCCCTAAACTCAGCCCGAAAAAACCTAAATTTTGCCAATTACCAAACATTTGCAGAACCGCTCTATCAAATAGCCAATCAAATAAAAGGGGAATAAAACCAGTGGGCGTTGCCTGAGTGCGAATTAAAAATTCTCAGCCCAGAAAAAGCAAAAAAAAACATAAAAATTTTAAGGAGAGCTACAAACTACAAAAAAGGGTTCATCGTGCAGAGTTTAACAGCTGGTATGCTCCCAGATTCCCCTTGTGAATACATGGTGTTACTGATACTCTGATACTGACACGTTTAAAATTTTAAGATCAGAGTCCGTTTCTATTACTTGAAGAATCAACCCGAGTGACATTCCATTATGGCCGTGTTTATAGTTTGCTAGTCTAACTAAACTCAACTACTGCGGGAAACTTGAAACATTTTTATGCGGCTTTGAAAAGCTGTAAGTACGCTGCAATAATTTAAATTGAAAATAAGCTTCAAAAGCCTGGATGCCGTTTTTTTTTACAATACAACGTAAGGGTCAAACTATTGTGGATTATTTTGATAATTTCGCAGGCTTTTTCCAGATGACAAGATAAAAAAGCAGTTCTGACGAGGATAAATCTTGAGAATGATTTTCAATATTTGTTATTGGTGACCGGCAAATAAGACGACAGGACATTAAGACGACAACCGTTTTAATGGGAATTTAAGAAGACGCAATTTTCCACATAGTATTTCTGAGAAATTTAAACCGCTTCTAACTGTTCAGTTTACATGTATTGTCTCTTATTTGTCGTCTTAATGTCTTGTCGTCTGAATGGCATGTCGTCTTATTTACCTAGCACCTGTGAATCTATTGGTAAGCTAGATTTAAACCTAAATAACTCCGTAGCTATAAACTAGCAGCCAAAATTTTCCAGAAGCAACGTCGAACGCTATTTTCTCGCTTATGATTTAACAAAAACAATAAAATTTAGCGCAAGTAGCAAAAGTGAAGACTTTCCGTGGCTCATCAGCCTTGGAACCCAAAATTTCACTATGTCTTCCTATCATTAAAAATGGGGAGATCTTTGTCTTCGGGTGTGTTTTAGTTTTTTTCCATTCAAAATCAGGCACCACAAAAAATCATCGGACTGAGTTGACTGATATCAAATAAAAGCCCTTCAATCAACCGTAAAACCTCTCCTACCCTCCATCTCCCTAAGTGACTTAATGTAAAAAATGTGAAACAAAAATTTATCAATTAACAGTGAGATTGTGCCACAAATTTCCTAAAAATTCAATTTTCCAAAATTTAAAATTGGTTCGAGTTGCAATTTTGAACACTGGAGTTACCCTCAATATTGACAAAAAATCAGCAGCTATGTTTAAAACTCGAAGAATCAAGATAAAATAGTCGATCTACCAAACAACATAAAAAAACTGTTCGATATGGAGAAGTTTTATTCAGTTTTGCTGTTCGATAGAGACGTTTTATTCAAAAACCAAATCACAAAAAAAACACAATATTGCAAAAAAAAAACAAGCTGCAAAAAAAACAAGTTTTTTTTTTAAAAAAAAACAACAAAAAAAATCACAAAGATCTATATACTAGTATTCACTCCCGCAGTCAGTAAAAAGAGAAAATATTAGATTATAATGGATTTTTATTGTGAGTCTCCATAAACTTCAAAAAAACTTGATTATCATCGATTAAAATTCTAATGTTACTAATTTTCGAAACAAACAAAATCATTATAATCGGTAACAAGACTGCTCGTATACCAGGGCAAAGCCCTGAATGTTCCAACTGTCCCTTAATTCATATCGAATAGTTTTTTGGGGGAAAATATTGAAAACTGTAAATTTTGGACAAAATCAAAGTGTAAAACTTTGAGTCGTACGAAATTAATGCGACCAATTAGCCAGCCTCAATTCACTTTGGAACGTTTTTGTTGTGCGGGATAATTTGCCACGCATAAATAATTCGAGTTACGCTCTCAGCAATATGAATAACTTCTTCAAAGCGCACATAAAATAGTCCAGAACATGACCAATTTGGCAATTTTCAAACCCCCAGAACTTCACAATCGAAGGTAAAATATCTTTATACATTTGAACTCAGGAAGTATATCTCTTTAATGGGGTATAAAAACTATATGGTGTGTAAAAACTTTTTTGTTGTACACTATTTTTTCGATCGGCAAAAATTGGCTGAAAAAACCTCACCGAGCATAAATATTCCGTTTTCAAAAAACCGTTCTACTGCAGCATAGCCTAGCATATTATAGAAGGCCTAAATAAGGCTTAGAGAAATGTTTTGAATAACATGCAACTAGTCCACAAAAGGCTGTTTTACTGCTGACAATTTTTCAATTCGGATTGACCAGAAGAATTATATTAGGTCCAAATGTTCACAAATTTAAGACAGAGCAAATAAGACAAATAACAAACAGTTTCAAATCCTTTCAGGATTTGGCGAAAAACAAAACGACAAACAAAGTCAATCTAAAAAAATTTACAACCTCGTCGCAAGTTGTTATTGTTGAGTCACTTCTTGATAAATTGATAATATTAAGAATTTTCCTATTTTAATACGCAACCTTAGCAAACCAAATCATTTGGACATAACTCTTCTAAGATCACAGGAATCAATGCGGAAAAAAAGAGTTGGTTACCACTTTGATTTTATCTTTTTTTTTCCAAAATTATTTCTCTTGAAGTTTTTCCGCAAAAACTGGAGCTGTGAAAATGTATAAAAACATTAAAATGACGCAGAGAAACTAATAAATCATCAAATTAGTTTGAAAATCAGTTTTGACTGTTTTGGAACCAGATCCAAAATATAATTTATTATTGGTTATAATTTAGATATTTTATCCCTATTAAATATTGAAGACTAACCAATCACACTCCGTCAAACTAACAACCCACTTATTTGTAAGTGCTGAAATTACTTGTATTTTCAGCACCAGAGCAATTTGAATTTAACTTACAACTTAGTTGCTTTCTCCAAGAGACTGACTCGTAACAAAACAGTATACTCTAGATCTATTGAGACTAAGAGATATAAGAGTAAGATGAAGATCGGTATTAGACTAAGAAGTTGCACGAATCTATCCGGCCGAAAATAAGACAGCGTGACAAGCAGACGGTGTACCCTATCTGAAATTACTCTATGAGTTAGACTTCCATCTCAACTCAGTTGTATATAAACATTTGTGGAAAAGGTTTCGATATTGTGATTCTGCGAAGCAATCCATGATGATTAAAAAATAGATTTTTTACTGAAGTATAGCCTAATACGATTTGTGAGTAGCATGCAACTATTCCAAAAAAGACGTTTTAACTGCTGGAAACATTTTTAAATTGGATTAATTAGAAAACTTGTAATTAATGCAATTTCTCACAAACTCCGTTAGAAACGGGGCAGTAAAGACGGGACAGGCAACGAACAGATGCAAGCCGATTCAAGGTTTGATGAAAAGCAAAACGACAAACTAAATCGTTCACTTAAAAACTTCAAGTATAACTTCAATTGACCTGACGGGACCACACTTCTAAACGAGCTTTTGAATTGGACTCATCAAAAACATCGGAACTACACTTTTCAACGAGTATCCCCTTTTTGGAACGCAGAAAGCAGAACATCGGAAAGTTGAATAGTTGAATATGGTACAAAAAACTGGCATTAGAACCAGGGGCGGATCTAGGATTTTCTCGAGGGGGGGCGGATTTCGGATTTTCAAAAAATTTTCGAAAATTTTGACGACCTTTTTTTTTTTTAGGTCGATCAGATTGATTTTCCGAGCTCTCCCAAAGCAGTAAAAAGACCCTGTTTTGGCTAAATTTTCTGCGCCGCAGGCAATTTTTTGAAAAAAAAAACAGGTCAAAAAAGCCGTTTTGGGCACTTTTTGGAAAATTTTGACAAAAAAAACGCGTTTTTTTTGGCGCGCGCTCCCCCTCAAAACTAGTATATATTGGCGCCAAAGGCGCCTTTAGAAAAATTTTAGGGTCGGTCGGCCAAAAATGGATTTCCTAAAAAGTACCAAAGGGGGGACCCTTTGGGCTGGCAGGGGTTCGAATCCCTGAGGGAAAAAGGGCGTCCGCCCCCCCTAAATCCGCCCCTGATTAGAACATCTTTTTTGACGGTTGCAAGAAAAATCTATCTTGCTCGATTTTTAGTTCATTTTTTTTAAATTTTGGGTAATTAATAAAAATGAACCTCTGTTTTCTGTAGCGCATCTGTCAATTTTTCCTTGGTCGCATCGAGCTGTGTAGTTCTAAACAGGTGGTCTGTTCCGCGTCTCAAGAAATGCGACATATGACTTTTCGCTTTTTTGTACTTTTCAACAGTTTCCATATATTGTTCAACTTTCTCTGCTTCCCGACTGCACTCGGAAAGCTTCTGTTCCACTTCCCGCTCTACTTTTTCCACTTCCTCGGCAATCAAAGGAGCCGAGACTGTCATTGCACGAGTGGAAGAGGGAATAGAGTCTTCTTCGATCTGATTGGCTCGTTGTTTTAAAGAATTCAATTGGTCCAACACTATCGGGTTTTCCTTGATCGTCTAAACGTACAATCGGATGTAAAAAGGTAAAAATAAGAAGTTTTTGTTTTTTCGATTAACTGATTGAACGAGGATAAAATGAAGGAAAAAAATAAAAAGCAAAAGTGGTTTACTAATTCTTAGCAAGAAAAATTTAATTCTTGAAAACAAATTTTATTATTTAATATTTTATTATTTTGTTCACATTTCCGCTTTCATTTTAATAGGAATCAATTGTTCTGAAGCAGCGTTTTTCCAAATAGTGGTTTTTGTGTTCTATGACATCAACAATGATGGTTTTTTGTTGGATGGAAAAACAAATTTTATGAATAAATCATGAATAGCTCGCCCAATGAGAACGGAAACGAGACAGGAGACCGGAACTGTGTTGAAAAGCCAAGCGATCATTTGGTTTCAATGCTTTTGTTATATTATAGGAAGAATATGAAATTAAAAGGAGGCATAATTATAAATTGTAAGCTGTCGCTTGCGCAGGGGTTTTTTTGAATAAAATTATTTCACCTACCCTTAAATCAGGGGCGCATTTAGAGGGGGAAGAAATTTTTTCCCTTGGGAATGAATTAGTCACCGTGGCAATCTTAAGTATACTTCGTTACTATTTTACACCAAGTTTTAATTGAACATCCCTGTAATTTTTCTAAATGCTTCTTTGGTGCCAAAGTATACTGCGTTTCAGGGTGGAGTACGAGCCGAAAAAGCGGAAGATTTCCAAAAACAGGAATTTCAGCACATTATCTCAAAAATTTACCAGCGGCGCAGAAATGCTCGCCATAGATTAAAAACGTTGAAAGATCTGATTTCAGCTCCAATGCGGCTAGTTGCAAAGGACATTTTTCCTTGTAAGAGATTGTTTAATATTTTGTTTTAACTTTATCACAACATTTTGCTGCTTTTTTTTTAACTTTTCAACCTTTTTTAAGCGTATCAGAACCGTTTAATGCACTTGTCATTAATTGGATGAGATCGGTTAGCTTAACACCGGTCTCCTTTGAGTCGCTCAAGGGGGAGGTGGATATTAACTTTGGGCTACGTCGGAGTTCTCAGCGATGTCGTTACTTTGGTCCATCGGAAAAAATTATGAGAATATTTTATGAGAGTGCAAGAAAGTTATATTTTATGAGAAAGAAGAAGTTTAATTTTATGAGGAAGCAAATCTGGAAATTACCTTTAATTCCTTCAGCAGTGTCTGAAAATCATTCACACTTCCTGTCTTTGTTTTGTTCAACACTTTTCCCACTTTTTCCTTCCACAAAGCGACGTCATCTCTCAAACTGTCCAATTTGGAGTTCAACTTGGAAGTTTCCTCGCTTTTTTTCTGATGAGATTCGATCTCGCTTTTAACAGTTGCTAGATTGCCAAGTAAATTACTGACGAATCCTTCGAATGTAATTTTGTGACCATTTAAGGAAAAGTCGATGCCGGCGTTTTGACAGCTTTGGTCCAATTCTGGAGCGGTTAGTTTCCAGAAGTCCAAATCGCGGTGACAAATGTTGATTTTGCTTTGCGAAGTCGCAAAGTCGGTCGAATCTCGTATGTTTTCAATGGTGTTTTGCAGAACTCGCAAGCTTTCCCACTTGTTTATTAAATTGATTCGTTCGGAACAGTTTCCTGAAACCAAAAACAATTTATATTTTTTGCGTTAAAACAAATTTTAAAAAGGTTAGAAATTCGGTCGTTACCTCTAAGCGCGTCCAAGTCCTCAGCTTTTTTTGCAAAGTTAGTCAACATTAGTTTCACCGTCTCATCAGTGGAGGGAAATACTTTCAATGCGGACTTTCCGTCTTTTAAGCTTGAATCTATTTTAGACTTAATTAAGTTCTCCAAAATTTTTTCGATCTTTGATTTTGAGTAATCCAAATCTTCTAGTGCTGTCGTATTACTTAGCGAGGCCTCTGACTTTGCTGCAGCGAAACAGTCATCAATTTCATTATTGTAGTTGTCAATTTTTGTTTTCAAATCTCGGCATTTTGAAACTGAATCATTTTTCATTTTCAAGGCTTTTTTCAGCTGTTTGAGCTGAGAGTCAACCATTTCAAAAGCATTTGTTGGTTTTTTGTCAGCCGTTGAACTTTCGAACACTTCCAAAGATTTGTTCATTTCTTTCAAATGTTGGTCAAAAGTGTCTAATTTCTGGGCCAATTCTTCCAAATTTGAGTCCCATAATTCGAGAGTTTCGCTGTTGAGCGTTCTAGTATTCGCTGTCTGTTTCAACTGTTTGTCGGCTTGGTCTAATTCAGCTGTAATCTGTCTTCGTGCCATTTCGAAGCTGTTTATTGACTCCTGAAGTTCGCTGTACGACTTCAAATCGTTAGTGACACATTTGGAAACGCGTTCAAATTTCTGTTCTGCTTCCTAAAACAAAAGCTTCAATAATTTTCTCAATTTTGAAAAAAAAAATTATAGTTTTTGTATTACTTTTTTAAAGTTTCCACAACTGTGAAGTCTCTGGGCCTAAACTGTCTTGAAAGTTAAATATGATAAGTTTGATACACTATTTATTGTTTTCCGAACCAAAATTAGAACGTTTGTTTTTTTAAATTTTGGTTGGTAACAGAATACGTACCTGCAATTGGTTTTCCATTGAGCTCAGACAAGGTTCGGTTCCCATTAAGGTTACCATGTTTTGAAGAAGCGCCTCCACCGATTTTTTTTCTCTGTCAAAGGCCTGAAATAATAAGAAATTCAATAAAATAATGAAAAAAATGATAAATGAGAAAGAGCAGTTTCGCTATTTGTGACAGACACCATTTATAATTTATAGTTTTGGGTTTTGGTGAGACATTTTGGCGAGCTTTACAGCAGCAAATTTAACTTCGGGAACAATTTAGGCGCTTTTTCATTTAGTTAACATCACAGAAATATCTTAGCTGTCAGTTTTTAAAATTGTCTAGAAAGTCACTAACCAATGAAGAAATACTAGGAATCCATTTAAAAAAAAGACACCTAAAACCTCATATTATGGTTTCATTTATGCTAAAAATTAGGGCCCGTAGCCGTAGGTCATCGTTGGATGTTGTAAAATTGTACCAAAGAGAAAATTTTGATTGACCAGGAAAGGCTCGAAGTCTTGACTGGTTTACGATTAAGGCGCGCAACCTCCCAAAACTAGCCACGCGTTCTTCTATTTTGAAAAAGAACAATAAACGAGCGGCTCTGGTCTAAATCGACAACCGCGGAGTAACGTCCCTGTGATTGGTACCTGGAATTCGTGCTTGAGTCCGGCAACCTCTGAAACAGTGGCCACTTTGGCAGGTATGGAGAGACTTCTGGCATCCACTCGTGACGTGAACTCTTCCAGGGTTGAGAGATCTTGTCGAAACTGCTCCAGTTTAGATTTTTCGGACTCTACAAAACATGTTAATTTATCAAACAAGGTACCACAGCCGAGTTACCAATGTACTTGTTTTTATTTTCCTTAATTTTTTTTTGGTCATATCGGTTTTAAACTTTTCTTCAACAATTTTATCAAAATTTTAGTTCAATAGTTCTACATGTAGGTGAAGCAGAAAAGACGACTTTATGGGTGCATAACATCAATTTTAAACCTTATTTTCAACAATTTTTTTTTCAAATTGTCATCCAAAATAAGAGGCTTGGTGGTCAAAAATTGTTGTTACAAGTTCAGAAAATAGGCCTTTCGAGAAATACTCCATCGTTACAACTTATAATAGCTGAAGTACAAGAAAAAAAAAGAACTCGCAAAAATAAGTTAACTGGTTTCAAAGTTAAAGCATTAAAAAGTGATCTTACATATACTTTCGGCGCATATACAAAACATTCCCATACAAATCAGTCCGAAACTTCAAAACAAAGTCCTAAAAAACAGTCACGTACAAAAAATTTCAAAACTATTTGATACTTTTGACTTGATCTTTTGGCGCCGACAGAAATGATTTACAAAAATGAGTTTGAATCGCCGATGGCACAAAAAGATTTCAATTTTCCGAAAAACTGAAGTTTGGTTAAATATAGCATGGAAATGTGACGGGAACAAAAAATGGGCTCAAACTTAGAGAGTTGGGCGAGGGGAAAGAAAAATCACCACCTTGTATGTATCCAGTATTTTGCCGGTTTCGAATTGACTCTAGCTTAACTTTGAAAAATCAGGGAAATTATTTTTTACTGCTTTGCAATGTTGTGATAAAAAACTGAAAACAAAAAAAACGTGTGTTATGGTTTATTTTTACATTATTATTTAATTTTCAATTTATTTTATAACAAAAATACATAAAATTTAATGTTCCAAGTTATATTGTACAACTCCTAACAAATTCAATTTTTTTGTTGGATTGATTTGACCTAATCATAGCCGTTAAGTTTTGGTTGAGTTTTTGGTATTTAATGTTTTTGGATCTTTTCGTCCTGCGCACATTTTTTCTAGTAAAATTTCCGCGTTTTTTTGTTCATACGTGATCTTCTCGATGCGTTGAGTTTTGGAAACGACGGCTGCTTGCTGTTGACTAGCTTCACAAAGTTTCTGTTCCAACCTTCTACAGCGTTTTTGGTGCGAGGAAATTTGTTTTTTTTTACTCCGTGATGGCAACTCCATTGCTCTATTTCAAGTCTGGGCTTCTGTCGTCCTTGAGAAACCAAACTAAAAAAATAGACGTCCCCGAAAAAAATGAAATTTGGTTGACTGTCTTCGGATGCTTGACCTTGAAAAAGGTCAAAGGCACTGGGACGTCTTCTATGGGCAGAAACCCTATTGACAGAAGCATTCAAAAAAACTCACGAAAATTAAGATCATTTTTGTAATTGTGAGTCTTGCCTGGCACTGAACATGTCGCCAAACGCTTTGACTCATATAAATGAAACAAAATTAAAATTGAGGGCTCTGATGGGTAGCTGTATTAGAGCTTCGTACTGCTATTTTAAAATCAATTGCAACGCGATTTGGGGACTCAACTCTTAGAACCTTGAGAAGCCAACGGTAACTTGTCTCCCTTTTGCCAGGAAGCAGAACGTAAACGAGATATAAAAGACATTCTGCAACTGAAGCGCGTTCTGTATAAAATTGGTAGAATACAATCGGAGCAATCGAAAACGTTCCATCGCAGAACCAATCTTCCACCGCAGGCCAGAGGTAATTCAAAGCCAGTCAACGAAGTTGTCTCTGCCATCGCGACGATCTCCGTTTACAGTTTAGTGGTTAGCACAGTAACTTGGTAAATGAACAGCTGTTTCTGGGTTAACATCGCGCTGGGCTGCAGAAAGTGTTTTGCTGCGCTGTTACATACGAAACTGCTGCTCGATCTTTAAGCGTTTTCTTGAACTTACGTTTTTCGATAATAATCGGATCGCAGATGTGGCAATGATCGTTAGAGATCTCGATGGAGTCCTCCTTTTTATGCACATATCCCATGCAACTGCTTTATGCAGAGCGCCAGGAGAGATAGTTGTCTGACAGTATTCGAGATTTAATGTATGCATACCCTTCAAAAAGTAGAAACTCATAATTTATGTTATTAAAAACAATTTCAGTTTATAGCGAGTTAACAGTGTTCTATTGAGTGGTTACAAGTGTTCACAAAAAAATAACTTGATCAACCTGTTTGTGTTTGACTGGAAAAAGAAACAAAAAGTCCATTTGTTATTTGTGTTAACTTGTATATTTTGCGGATTTTAGCTTTTAACCAGTGGACGCTGCTCATATCTAGTTTGTTCTATTTCATCCGCTATACTACCAAATATTATCCTGATTGAGTATATCCAATAAATTTCTTAATCCACGGGAATTTTCCTTTTCAGTTTTTGGAAGAATTATCACTTCTATCAATGGGACTGTTTTTGAGACTGTTTTGTATGGGACAGTTTTTCAGGACTTTGATATAATTTTTCGGACTATTTTGTTTTGGGCTGTTTCGTAAAAACACGATTTGTTTCATTTTACTCCAGTGTGTACTTTTAAGTGATCTGAATGATTGAGTAAAATTAAAGATTTCTTTTTTTTTTCAAAAACAAAATGGCAATTTAAAAGAGTGGAAAGGCAGCTAGAAGATGGCTATTTGGCTGTTCCCAAAACTGTCAAAACTAAAAAAAACCGTGATGAAGGTTTTTTCGGAGCCTTATAAAGTTGCGCAATTACTTCGTACAAACGAGCTTTTTGGATGTTTTAATAACAACAATTTTTCTGTTCAAAGTGTCTTTGCCTAACAAAAGTTCTCCTGAAAGCAACTGAACTAAAGTCCAAAATCATGCGCCAGTTATAAGGCGTTCAAGTATACTTGAATTAAATTTCTTAGAATTAAAATTTTGGAAGCTTTTCTATTCGATTATTCATTAATTTGATGGGATGCGTTTACTTTTTGATTATTTTGGCATGAAAATTTCGTGAAAACAAGATTTTTTATTTTGTTAATTTTTAATTATTCCTAAGACGCTTTGCAATGGGTTAGTTTTTTGATTTTTAATTGCAATGGAATACAATTACGAATTGTTTGACTATCAATTGGTAACTTTAAGTTTAGTAATTTTACCATCAATTAAGATAAATTATCGTTTCCCAAAATTTTTTATGTCCAACTTTCACAAAAGCTTGAAACCAATCCATAAACAAATTTGGCTCACAAAAATTCTAATAAAATTTATTGTGTCCTCTGTAAATCCACAGCAGAGGTTTTTCACTGTTCCAGGGGCAGCTTTCTAACTTGTGTTGTTGGTTTTTCTTTAGAAAATTTACACAAGGCGCGCTGAGTCACATCTGGAATATTGAACTTCATTTACATATCCAAGTCCAGTATCTAGAAATTTTGTCGTTTCTTTTCCGTCGCTGTCATGGATTAATGTAACGTTCAAAACGGAGTAGCCGTCATTCTTAGAGTC